TGTCCCACCACAGGTGACATGTGGCACACCACTGTCCCACCACGGGTGACACGTGGGGCATGCCGCTGTCCCACCACAGGTGACATGGCTGATGCATCAGTGTCCCACCACAGGTGACATGTGGCACACCACTGTCCCACCACGGGTGACATGTGTGGCACATGCCACTGTCCCACCACAGGTAACACATGTGGTACCCTGCTGATCCATCACAGGTGACATGAGTGCTTTGAGGTTGTTGGATTCTTTGGGGTGAGCCCCCCCCCCGGGCATCTCTCTCGCGGGTCCCCCAGGGCCGGAGAGATGGAGAGATGCACCCACTGTGACTTGCACTTCACTGTAGCAGCCGAATCTGTTACTCAGAAAAGCAGATCCACTTTAGAGGCTGGACTTAGGAAAACATAGGCTCGACCAGACGTTTGTGCTGGAGGCATCATGGGGAAGGGACGTGAGAGATCTCCGGCAGCCTCCAAAGGAAAGGAACTGTCAGAGGCTCTTTTCCGAGTGGAACCTGTCTGCGCTTTGCCTCTGTGTGTTTTCTTCAGCGAGACGCAAGCCACGTGCTGGGGGCTGGCTTCTGTCGGTCACCTCTGGGACTGACTGGATCCTAATGGAGGTGGGGGGCTCTTTCCTCCACTGGTTTTCATGGCGAGGGACCAGACACTTGTCTGATCAGGTGGTGGGCATGCTTCACGGAGGCACTGGAATGGTCTCAGGAAGCCTCGGGAATACACAAGAGGACATTTGAGCTGTCCACACTCTTTGCTTAAAATTAAGCATTAACAGAGATGGGCACCTTCTCTACTCAAGAAAGATCGTGCTAAGTGGCAGGAGGGAAAGAGTAGGGTGAGGGGCACAATCCTTTATCCCAGAGAGCCAGTGCCTACCTCACAGGCTTCCATGCCGGCCCCCCGAATACATAGCCACGCCCAGAGAGCTGTCGGGTTGACCAGCACTCCAGCAAGCGGGACCTCAGGGCAGTTAGGAGTAAAAGGTCAGAAAGGCTTTCAGAAACAGATGGGCTGTGCCACTGACATGCCCTCAAAAGGGGGCTTTGAAAATTAGAAGATCCAACGGGACAAGGAGGAGCAAAAGCACGAAACAGGAAAACACCACATGTGTTAGGGGCAGAGCAAGAGCTTCTGTGTGGAATCTGAGGGGGGTAGTCAGTGTGAGGGCAAGCAGGACTGAGAATGCCCACCCGTCCTTCCGGTCCGCTGGTGGGGAGGACGGGGCCCCAGAGGGGAGCTGTGGCTTTGAGGAGATGCCAGGTGACCAAGAGGGGCCGCACGGGTTGGGACCCTGGGCTAGGCTGGGTGGGGGCCCGGTGGCAAGGGGAGCACACATTCAGGAGACTCTGCCTCGCGTCCATCTGTAACTCCCTCTGGTTCATGTTCACGTCCAGCAACCTGACCGATGCCTGAGAGAGACAAAGTGACAGCCGTCTTCCCAGCTGTCAGGGGACATCTATACCTCAGACGCATCAAATAAAACTGAAACAAGACGTTCTTCAAGTGGCATGTGTGGTCAGCTGAGGGTAACCCTGTCCTCTTCTTTCCCCCTAGAATAACCCCAGCAATAAACTGGTGAGCACTAGCAACACCGTGACCGCGGCCCACATCAAGAAGTTCACGTTTGTCTGCATGGCCTTATCACTCACGGTAAGGGGAGAGACTGACAACACCGTGCCCCCTACCGGCATTGTTTTTGGGAATGGGGAATGGCCATTTTAAAGGGAGGACTGTTGTGTTCCATACCTGTGATGCTATACGGAATTAATTAACAACCCAAAATATGAACAGTAGTTCCTTAGGGAGGTCATTGAATCTAGGAATGAAGGGTAGACTTCTGGCAGGTCTGGGGACTTCTAACATGCTGAAAAAAGGCAGACTTTGCCTTTTGTTTTAATAATACTCTTGTCTTACTGAATAACTTCTGATCCCGTTTTCAGCATTCAGAGTCAAGTGTATAAACATCCCTGACCCTCTTCCAAATTTAGTTGGTGTTACTTGAGTTAGCGCAGTAGAAGTTCCTCTCCCCATCCCACTTACGCTGCTTCTGTCTGCTTGCCTGTCAAGATCCCAGGCCCTGGGTCATTCTCGTGGACATAGCCGTGGACCCCCGCGGACAGCCCCGCGCTCTGCGCACAGCCTACATAAACAACACATGTCCTTTATCCATCCCCATGGGTAATTTCAATGTATAAGATACTGTTCAAAGAACTTGGAAAAAATATGTACATGGTCGATAGCCCAAAGCACATGGTATATAATTTAAGGTTGTTTATAGTAGCAAAACAGAAAGAAAAGCACTTTTGTGAACAAACTTACATTGTAGACCATGCCCTTTGAGTTCTAAAGGTGGAGATGACAAGGAAGTAAAAAGAAATGCAGGTCTTTTTTTTTTTTTAAGATTTTATTTATTTAGAGCATATTCGAGGGTCTGGGCATGGGCAGGGTTGCAGAGAGAGAGAGAGAAAATCCCAGACTCCAGCTGAGCGCGACATCCAATGACATGGGGCTCGAGCTCATGACCCTGACCTGAGATAATGACCTGAGCCAAAATCAAGAGTCAGAGGTCCAATCAACTGAGCGACAGCAGACGCCCCAAAATGCGGGTCTTTTGAACTCAGCCCAGTCTTCCTCTTTGTTGTTGGGCTCTGCAATTCCTTCTAAGTCCTGTAGAAATTCTCCGTTTATAAAGTACAAGTATGTTCCGGAAATGCCAGGGGTGTGCAGCTCTCGTCATCGATGACCAGGGCAGAAGGGCTGGTTACGCTGATGAGAGGAACACGGTGACTCTGGCCCCTCTTCCTTTCATCACAAGAACTATTGGCTTGATGAGCCCTGATGGTCCTTATTTATCATCGAGCCCTAAGCACGTTTTAAGCCTTTGATGGATATTTTTCCAAAGCCCATGACTTAATCTTTGATCCACGGATCCTACGCCTGAATAGATTGTAACAAGGGCCACATGAGACTAATAGCCGGTCACGTCACCCATCGTGAGCTTGTGTCCTCAGCGGCCCCTTTGCCCCAACCTGCCCCTCCTGCCAGTCCCTTCCTTCTGACTCTGCTGGAGGAGGCGGGGGAAGGGCCATCAGGAGCACCTTCCTGTGCCACCTCGCCCAGGAGGAATTCCCAATAGTGCGCCTGTGTCGTCGGGACAGGTTACCCCAGGAAACCCTGCTCCCCTATTTGTGTTACTTCTCTGTGGTGTGCAAGTTTTTCCATAGTTCTCTAAAATATTAGGAAAACAGTGAGCAGCCTTGAAACTGTTTAAAAGAGTATTTTAGAAAAAGCCGAGAAGGTTTCTATTCCAGGAACAGACCTCAGCTTTTGGAGACGATGGGAAATGATTGGAAGTCAAAAGTTGAGTTGAACCAAATGCCAGGTTCTGTGACTTGGCCCTCATCCCTCACTGAGCGCCAGTAGCTTTTAGTTGTCACTGGCTCGGCGATCCGGGTCTGACCTCCTCTGGCTCCTCTCACTCCGGTTAAACATCTTGCCCGCCTACAGCTGAGTCGGATGGAGAACTCCACCAGCCTGGGTTTGAAGCTGTTTCTTCTCTGGTCTGGTGCGAGGGCAATAATCTGTCACTCTGAGACAAGCAACTGGTTTATTTCTGAAATGGTGATGATTTAGAAAAATGCCTAGATTTCCCAGGTGAAGATTTTATTTATTTCATTATTCTAATCCCGTACTCCTTCCTGTAACTGGAGTGTGTCAGGTTAGATTTTCCCCATAGAAATGGAGACTCAGAGTCCTTCATTGGAAAGAAACTTGGAGACAAGTGAGCCAAAACCCTTCCTTTCTTAGAAGGGGAAGGGACTCAGAGAGGCTTAGTGACTCACCCGAGCACCTGGAACGGAACCTGCCAGAAGCCAGCCTCCAGGCCCACTCTCCGGGCCCTTTTGTCCCAACTGTGAAGTTTTCAGCAGGTAGGAACCGCTCTCTGGCCCTACACCTCCAGACGTGGGCGTCATGCTTGAAATGGCGGTTTCTTTAACACAAAAAAACAGGAGTATTTGAGTTTGCTGCTCATGAAGTGTCTCACATACATTATGCTTACAATGGTTCAGTCCATTGGTCCAACATCTTAGCCACAGGAATTAACCTTAAAAGACATAGGGGAAAAGTAAGCAACTTTTTTTTTTAAGATTTTATTTATTTATTTGAGAGAGAGAGCATGAGAGAGAGCTTGAGCAGGGGGAGGGGCAGGGGAAGAGGGAGAAGCAGACTCCCTGCTGAGCAGGGAGCCCTGCATGAGGCTCAAACCCAGGACTCTGGGATCATGACCTGAGCCAAAGGCAGACGCTTCACCGACTGAGCCACCCAGACGCCCCTGTAAGCGACTTTTTTTAAATTGGAGTATAACTAACACACAATGTTACATTAGTTTCAGGTGTAGGGTTGGTTTCTGGTTTTTCTTTCCTAAATTAAATGTTAAGCTGTCACTATAATGTGTACATTCCTTTTTGTAGCACTTTCTGTATTCAGTCTTCACATCTGTCGCTCCTCGTAGGCTCTGAAGTGCCCACGTCGGGTGTGCGACGTAGCCACCTTCCACCCCAGGGCCGAGTGTCCTGTCTGACAAAGGAGGTGCTCAATAAACCGCCACTTGAGACTCACCTCTGAGTCAAAGGTACCGATGGTACCCACCCTGGTGAACGACAGTCTCCTTATTTGCCCTCAGTTTATCCGACTTTTAAAGCTTTTAAGAGGTCCTTTCTTCTCAAGTCCATTTTTGTTTTGTTTTAAAGATTTTATTTATTTGACAGAGAGACATACAGTGAGAGCGGGAACACAAGCAGGGGAAGTGAGAGAAGGAGAAGCAGGCGTCCCAGTAAGAAGAGGGCCTGATGCGGGGCTCGATCCCAGGACCCTGGGATCATGACCTGAGCTGAAGGCAGACGCTTAACAACTGAGCCACCCAGGCGCCCCCCATTTTTGTTTTTTTTAACTTTAAAACTTCTTAGTGCTAGGGAACTAACATGACAGAGGCCACCGAAATACTCAAGAGCAGTGCACGTTGTGTTTATTCCAGTGGATGAGGTTACATACAGTCTCTGAGCTTTCTGATGGTTCCAGAACCTTCTGTACATCACCTGGGATCAGAGCACTCTCTAGGGCTCTGCTTCTATGGGCTCGCTGGCTCTTCTCCTCGGGTCTTTGAGAAGAGCTGACTCCAGAGATTCTACAGACACCCAGTGACCCAGGGATGCTGACTGTTTTTCAAGAGAAAATGTATGCTGTCTAGAATAAAAAAAAAAAAATCCATCTTTCCATCAGAGTGGGCTCACTCTTGGAGCCCTGACATTTTGGGGGTCAACATCCACCTTGGCCTGTGAAAAATATGGCTGTGTCACCTCTGACGGTTAATAAGACACTAATACTCCAGTATGCTACAATGCACATCGTTATTCACACCCTAGTGTGGATTCACAATGTAGTTCAGAGTTTCTATCCTACTCCAAAAGTGGTTCTGCCTCATGCTCTTATCTGGGAGAGTTCCTTCACGGAAGGCAGCAAACGTCCATGAAGAGGGATTGAGGAGGTGGGTAGCGTTGAAAAGGACAAATATTCTGGAAGCATCTTCCTTTCGGCCCCTCGGAGCTGCCTTCAGGAAGAAACGCTGAAGGTCCTGTTTGATGGCAGGGAGGGTGAGGGAAGGGGGAGCTTTAGACCCTCCAAGAGATGAGTTTCAAAATGGTAGAACTGTCAGATCAACAGGGGTCCCCTCCATGGCAGCAAAGGAGCAGACATGATGCAAACCGTGTTAGTAAGGTGACTAACTTTTTGCTGTTTGGGGTAAAGGAACACACGACTCAGGAACGTGCACAGCTTAAGGTAATTTGGAAGAAAGACTTTGGATAGTGGGCTGCATTGCGAGAGCTTGTGGTACAGAGGCTGCGCAGAAGAGGGCACATGGCAGAGCAGCCATAAGCCATGTCCACAGCAAAGCTGAGCCGGTGCTGGGATCCGAACTGGTGGCTGGTTGTACCCTGAACCTGCTGCTAGAGCCTGGGTCTCCATCACTTCTGTGACTGACCGTGAAGTCCAGTGATAATCACTATGTCCTAAAGGCTGTTTCTCTAGCGGAAAAGCAGGGGGAACACGAGTCGGAGGAGGCAGTGATGAGCTTGCAGGCAGGAAGCAGGAACAGCATTCCTTCCTCTTGGGGAAAGGCACTGGTAATACCAAACGTGCAGAAACTCACCCTCTTATTAGTTAGCCCCTCTAGATTTGCCCTGAGTCCTTCCTGGCTTCTAGATTTAGGGGTAAAATAGGAACCGCTAGCCAGGGTAGGATGTGTCTTCTCAACAAGCCTTTTGATATATAGACAATGGACTTCGATTCCTGGGTGCTAGGCCAGTTTGATGCCAGTGGATTGACTTGCTAAATTTATCAAACTGCCAATCTACTCCAGATATTTTCTTTACCTATTTCTTTTTTTTTTTTTTTAATGTATTTGACAGAGAGAGATCACAAGTAGGCAGAGGCAGGCAGAGAGAGAGGGAGAAGCAGGCTCCCTGCTGAGCAGAGAGCATGATGTGGGGCTCGATCCCAGGACCCTGAGATCATGACCTGAGCCAAAGGCAGAGGCTTAACCCACTGAGCCACCCAGGCGCCCCTCTTTACCTATTTCTAAAGTTCATAGC